AGTTTGATATTTTACGTTACTTTTAATTTAACACAAGAGCTAGTATCATAAGTTTATTCGACAATACATATATGATCTTCTCAGAGATTATTGTGACCAACTTATTGAAATAGCAAAAGTTAATCCAGTAGGTACAAGGTAAACTATCTGTAAAGATATTATGTAGTTCAAAGGAGAAAGGTATTTTACATGAAATGGTTTTTTTTCTCTCTTTTTCTAAAGAGGCAATGTGTCATCTGACGGTATTAACGCTAGACACTGAGCTATATATAAATATATAACTGTAATATATTAAGTGTCCAAATGTGTCAGGCTACTTAAGAGAATGTCTTTTTGATTAATTACGTCATTATGACTTAACGCGTTTGTGTTACAAAGGGAGGTTACAAAGAATCCCTATTCATTACAAGAAGACATTTTAAGCTAATTATACTATTTTTAGTCGCAAATCCGGCGCAACTTCTGTCATGTTATATGAAATATGGATCGAGATATACAATACATCTATTTGTAAAGAAACAACTTTACACTACAAAACATTATTTAGTTTGCGTTTGTACGCTGGGATCGTGTAAATCTGAGAATTGTCTCACGAATATTATTTTAGATACCTCAGATAGCTGAATGTGAAATAGTGACTTTGTTGATGTTACGAATGCAATTAATTCGTTGAAGCCAGTTCAATTCAATTGTAAATTGAACACTCGAAATGTTTATACTAAAAAATAAAAAATAAAAAAGTTGGAAAATACAAAATTACTCTGCATATTGTAGTTTTATTGCGCGAAATACAGAAACCTGCATTGCACAGCCTGGAAATTGACAGTATTACTAAGAAAGTTTCACCAGTTATGTAATAAATTGAAGTATCTGATATTATATTACTATCTTATAATGTATATATAGTTATGTATACATGCACAGTTAAGCAGTTAAACTGGAGTTTTTCGCAAGAAAATGATCTGTTTGAATGACACCGCTTCGCAAGCAAATAATCATAATGCACGATATTGATATGAGTGTTAAGGAGTTACACTTCTGAGGTTTCAATCACGTTCAAGTCTCGTTTTGATCTGATTTAACGGGGTTTTGTAATATTTAACAAATTATTATAATTTTTATTAGCAAACACGCATCTGAAAAATATGCCAAAAACTAGATGCCTGTTTTTTGTAGAACTTTTTTTACAAGAATAAAAAAAATAACAATTCGGCGGCCATTTTGAAAATGTGTATTAATGTGTATTTCTTGCGCTTCAAAAAAGGCAAAAATTTCACCCTTTTTGACACTAGCTTGATCACTTAAATTGTTATTGTGTCGCCATTTTTAATTGTAGCAGGTTCAATTTTGCTGTACAACTTTATAATGTTTAATAGTGTATGCTGGAGATGTACTGTGTTCTGTTTGTAGTGGGACCGTGCTTCCAACGGTATCATTAATAGTGCCACCCAACTTGAATGATACAGCACAGATACCGATCCATCAACCTCAGACTATTTTATACTCCGCCTGGGTTGTTTGATTCGTGTCGGGGAGGAGAAACAAACTTTCTCTGAACATTCCATTCGTACGACGATATCGAGAAATGTATGTCCAGGTATAAAAAAAGATAGAGTGTAATTGAGTCTGCAGCAGACTTTGATTGGAAACATTATTGATATGCAAATAGGCATTAATATGAGCACTGACCTTTTGAACGTTTGCAGTTTCAAACACTTTCATACTGGCACCTTACCGACTGGTACGGTGTGTCATTGTCATGTAATACATTGACATTCAACTCATCAAGTTGATAAATGGTTGCAAGCTATGCTTGGTTGAATTAGCTTTAAAGTGATTTCAAACTGTAACGTTGCGATAAATTCTGATCTTTATTTGTAAAATTGTTGTCCGCGTGTATAGGATAGCAAGGGTTTTGTTTGCATTAATGTTGCCGCTTTATCGTTTGTATAAACGAGTTTGTGTATAGCTATAAGGTCGCTCTTTGCAATGATTTAAAAATCTCTCTCTGAAACAACATCCATTTGTTCACCTGCCAGCGAAACGTGTGGCCTAGGAAACCTTGAACCACTGCAAGAAACCCCAATTAGATAGTGCAGTAGATGATAGCTTCGACTGGTAAGGAAATTCTCCTGGTTTGTTTTCTTCCGGTAAACTATTTATGTTTACTATATAGATAATATAAGCAAAAAAGTATTAACGACAGTACAGACAAAGGAATTTGGTTAATTTTCACGGGAGTAGTATCGTTCCGTTACAGGAATTCCTATAGATTATTTCAATCCGTAATATGTATGTAACCGGAAGTGAGAATAAATACAGAATGGCTGACATAAATGTGTTCGCTTGATCTATCCATGCCATCTAAAACACTATACACGACATACCATCACAATGGCGACGAGTACGGGATCAACGAACGTTTGCCAGTATTTTCGACATTCGAAAGCGACAGCGATAAGAGCATTGCAGGCCCGAAGTGGGACCGATGGATTGGTCGGTTTGAAAATCTGTTCGTAGCAATGGAAATTGACGATGCGGATGAAAATGACATAAAACGGGCATTGCTGATGCATTATGTTGTAGAGAGAGTATATGATGTATACCTCGCGGAGAAAACCCCTACAACAGGTACGTCCTACGCGGATGCCAAAAAAGGAGGAGAGCACTGAGGGAACCGATATGCAAGCTCAGGCAGTGGAAGAACAGTCGGTAAATTATGTGTCTGGGAAGTCAAGAGGAAGTCGCTGAGTTGGTCATGTCCCGCGAGTGGTCATGAGTGTCACGGGTGTAAGAAGAAGGGTCACTTCCGTAATATGTGTAAGGAGTCCAATGACAAATGGACAAATGAAAACAAGTATAAAAGGAAAGTAAACGCTGTCGACACTGACACAAAGGAGGACAGTGATGATAGTTACTGCTATGGGATGAGTCTAGAATGTAACGATGAACATGTCCATGCTGTAAAAGGGCCATTCATAAATGTAAACATAGAGGCGAGACAACTGGAGCTCATTGTGGATAGTGGATCCTCTGTCAACATTCTCGACGAATCAGACTATAACTGTATAGGACGACCCGCTCTGATGAAGACTAAGAACCAGGGACGAATAGTTTCATATTGTAACAGTGGTACTCTCAAAGTACTTGGGACTTGTAATTTACATGTTGAGACCAAGTCAGAGTTTGACATTATAGATTTATATGTTGTGAACGGAAAGAATCTTGGCTCTATCATGGGTTAACCTACAGCCAGCAAGATGTCAGTGATTAAAATAGAAGTGAATCAGGTTCGCCAGGAGCTACAGAACGTGGAAAGAGAGTTCCCAGATCTATTTAAAGGGATAGGAAAGCTTCGAAACCGACAAGTCAAGCTTCACTAAGACCCAGATGTGCCTCCTGTAGCACAGAGATCAAGGAAAACGGCGTTCCACCTGCGGGATAAAGTCAAGACTGAAATTGACAAATTGGTACAACAGGATATAATTGAGAAGGTTGATGGTGAGCCCACTCCTTGGAAATCTCCTATTGTGACACCCCCAAAAGGAATCCTGATGAAATTAGATTAAGCATAGATATGAGGGAGGCCAACAAAGCCATATGTAGGGAACGACACACTCTACCTACTATTGAAGAGCTCATTGTGGACTTGAATGGTTCAGAAATATTCAGTAAATTGGATCTGCGTAGTGGCTATCATCAACTGGAGCTTGAGCCCATGTCATATCTTCAGGGTCAGAGATATCTCAGGAAGCCATACGCCAAGTAATACAGAACATTGAAGGGGCGCGGTACATCTCAGACGACATTCTTGTGTATGGTTGGAACAGGAAGGAGCATGAAAAAGCTCTACAGAAAGTATTTCAAAGGCTGAGTGACAGTGGTCTAACTTAAATGGTCCAAAGTGTGAATTCAGAAAAGACAAAATAACATTATTTGGTGTGGTATTTGGAGCACCGGGTATTTCGCCCGACACTGAGAAAGTGAGAGCTGTAGATGAATTTGAGAAAATCTCAGAATGTTAAGGAGCCGCGGAGCCTCCTGGGGATGGCGAATTATTGTGCAAGATTCATTAAAGGATATGCTGATATATGTGAACCACTGAGAGAGCTTACACACAAAGATGCACCATAGACTTCGAACGAGAAGCATGAAAAAGCTTTTGTTGAACTGAAACGTAGCCTATCTAGTGACACAGTCATGGCATATTATGATCCAGACAAGCCAGTGGGGGTCCGAGTGGATGCCATTCCAACTGGATTGGGAGCGGTATTAGTACAGGATAAAACAGTGTGTTACACGAGTCGCGTTCTTACTTCGGTCGAGTCGCGATACAGTCAGATAGAGCGAGAATCGCTTGCAGTTGAGTGGGCGTGCGAACACTTTGACCTATATCTACGAGGACTGTCAAATTTCACTGTGATCACTGATCATAAACCACATGAGAACATCTGGCAAAAGACTAAGCTGCCAAGTCTGAGCATTGGAATCTACGATTACAACCCTAAAAGTACTATTCATACTTCCTATGAATGTCAACTTAAAGCAGTTCAATATGTTTGAATTATAGCAAAACGCGAAGAAATTATCTTATAATCTTAGGATTGAAGAAGTTTTTTTTCTATTATTTTTGAAATCTTACACAAACGTGTAGCATTTCGCTAGAGTTTTAGTTATCGTAAGCAAACAAACAAAAAGAAGAGAAAATGAGAGAATAACTGGAACATAATTATGTTAAGCATGTTCTGCATGTCCGGCCTATATGACAAAGCGCCTATAAAATGTACAAAAGGAGATGAAATAATAGGAACGAGTGTAAAGTTTGTTGGAAATGGCCTATTTATAACCGAACTCCAATAAAATGGTCAAATAATGACAGCGATGATAGCGTGTCGACCAGTGCAGCGTCGTACTCTGTACGGGAAGTGAGACATTATGTCATCAGCGATATTCGCCTGTCAAAATAAGTCACGTGACACGTGCAAAATCTAGTTAACTGTGTCCAGTTCGCTGTAGACGCATCTGATACAGTAGAGGGATATAGGTAAAATGAAGGCCACGCTGGTAACCGTCCTGTTGATATTTGGTAAGTAAGTGTTATGTTGATGTTAATTTCTCACAAACTCGTATTGTATTTGAAATATTTACTTTATCGGACATTTTTTTAATTGTTTCTTTTCTTCTTTTTTAAACTGTTCTACTACTAGCATTACACATGTTTCGATTGCACGGTAATTTTCACTTTTTAGCCAAAAGCCAGTTTTGATTCTGATTTTGCATTGTTTCTTTTTATTGGTTTTAGTCAAGAGGGCATTTAAAAAAGCTCGAACAATATTTCAATCTATTTTGTATGTTTTAAATTTTATAAAAGCTGTTAAAAGTTCACTGATAATGATTTTAAAAGGGAAGTTCGTTATTTCAGTTTAATGTATGAGAAAACGTAAAAGTAAATTAAACTTATTTTAAAAAAACTATTTTTTTCACTACTTACAGATTACTTATTACTTATTTTGTTATCACATCATCTTGCTGTTTTTCCCTACGTGCATCCTGACTTAAATGTAAACATATCTTTAGATAAATTTAGTTTGGCAATTTTAATAGCAGAATTTCAATATGAGTTCAATACACAAATAAACCTTGGTGTTTATTGTCGAATATGCTATGTTTGAAACATATTTTTAGTTGATTTTAAATTTTGTCTTTTTCGCTCAAATGAGGGCGACTGTATTATCAAAGCAAATAGCACAATATACATAGTACAATGTATTATCTGAAGGGGGCATTAATATTTTGCGAAACTTGATATTGTTTTCGTCGAAGAGTGAAAATATGACTGGGAGACAGTTTGCCTGTGTATAGTATACATTTAAATGACATGCATATAACTATTTCATAATAAAGATGAACATGAGACATACACATCTGAAGGCCGTATACAATTTGTTAATAGAAACAGTATGTCAGCAATGAGTGACATTGCCCATACAGCTGATTCGTCCGTCTAGAAGGTATCGCAGATTCCTGGAGAGCACAAAATCACAATCAAAATCGGTCCAAATTTCTTTTGACCTAGAACAGCAGGGAAGATGCATATTACCTATTGGTCATAGATAATTCAAAAATTGCAGGAGTATGGTTAATTTGAAAGTAAACATGAGCTGAGTGCGTATATCATTTACCGTGACACTACTCAGGGAGGTTATTTCTGACATCAATGTTTCGGCAAACCCCGGGAACTAAGAAATCCACAAGCAGAAGCTATCATCTTGTAGGTTGAATGATCAACGAAAGACACAAACTAGTGTTTGCACTTATAAAAGTTGATGATAGATACAGTATGCCCAAAATGAATTGCACTACACCAAACAGCCATTTTTACATTATATGACTCATCGGTGGTGCTAGGGGCAAACAATTATAATCCAGTGTGTGTGTAAATATTATTTTCGTTCCATTACTTTAAGGTCTTGTTTCATTCTGTTTTCATTCCGTTCTCACTGCGTTTTAATAGCGTCTTCATTCCATTTCGTTTGTCAACTGAAACGCTGGCACCCCCGTTTGTACATGTACCGTGCCATTATCCAAAGACATTATTTTGGTCATCAATGTTGTGGCCTACCTTGGTGACTAGGAAATCGACCATCAGAATCTAACATCTTGACACACACTTCAGATTGTACTTATGCAATTTTGTAAAACAGTTTTAGGTACCAGTATGCAAAAGATGAACTACTCTGCACCAAATGCAAAAGTATCATCAGTGTAAACTACGTAACTTGAACAGCCTGGCATCAGCTAAATGTTTGTTTCAAGTGACATGCTCACGAAAGTCGAATTTGGAAAAGGTGTAGCTTCACAATGACACTGAAACATTTCTTTTTGTAGTGTGTAGAAATAAACTTAAATAATGACGGTTAATTGAAAATCTAATGGTCTTCGTTTTAATTTCGGTCGTATCATCTATTTTTTCATTTGCGATCATATTTATGACATATATAAAGCTGAAGGATGTGGGTGGGGTTGGGGGTTAAACGCTATTTGTTTTAAGTATATGTTCGTCATTTATTATAAACGCTTAAATGATTTAAATTTTTCATAACCGTGGCAATAACAAAAACAAATAAGTTTAAAATGCATATGACTTTAAATGAGTGTTCTTTTCTTTTGACAGGTGCTGTTACAGCGACCAAAGGTAAATATCTAATCATGGAAACACTATATCTTTGTATTATACATTTGTGGACTTTGTTTTAGAAAACTTATTGCTTTGTTGATCCAGACGCTAAACAAATGATCGACCAGTATCGAAAGGCAAACGTTTTAGCTTAATATCCAACGAAGCATACGAATCCCGAATGTGTTGTTGTTGTAGTTTTTTTTTATACAGCTTGTTTTTTCACGATTGTCTCTTACTTTCATGGAATGAGTCTATGGAATTTTTATTTATGTATTGATAAGCCTCTGGATATTTGTAATTAAACATCGTTAGGAGATTCATTCTGATATGAAAGTATGAGATTCTGTGTATCATACAACCAAGACTTGTTGCAAATATGTATGAAACAACATTTTTTTTTTTTTGCTATCTTGAGATCTAGAATATCAAAATTAAGGCTCCAAAAGTTTCTCTTTGATATCGTCACAATACCTACAGAGGTCAGTGACGTCACGAAGTTAAGACGTCACAAGTGAAATAATGGAAACCCTAAGCCAATCACAACTCCGCTTGGTATTATTAAACATGTGTACGTAGTAGGATTATGTGACGCAAAAACTAGTGTGATAGATACCTCCTTTCGCAATCAATTATTTTAGTGTAATGCACGATTCATAATTCAGTGAACTGTATGATACACCAAACAAGTGTTTTATGAATATAGGGGTTCATGCAGATACACCTGCGTGTATGTTCAAACAATTCAGAATAACTTTTGATGTTGCAAGACATGCTTTGTACTGACATACTTAGTCGACTTGATGTCACTTTTCTACCGTTATATGATAAAACATGCGTTAGATCAAACGACTGAAAATAACCCAAATCTCGTAAAAGAATATAATGTCTGTTTTTATAGCTACGCATATTAAAGGGACAATAGATTCGCAATGAATACGTTAAGAGAATAACAATATACGTATGAAACACATCTCTGTAGCGACATAAACAACATGAAATACCACTAAAATGCTGTTAAACAAAACCACGATAAATTAGACCAATGATAAAAGCATTTATCCTAGGTAAATGACCTCCAGAGAGACGATTGTTCTACAGCTGTTGTACATGATGGGATATATGGGTCTCCACTTTTTGTCAAAACCTGATTAGTTCCTATATAAATCTTTGTGTTGAAGGTAGTTCTTATCAAAACGTTGTTAATAACAATAACATAGTAGTTGGGAAGTATGTTTAATATGAACTTCTGTTTCATGAGAAGTAGTTTATGTAGTAAATGTATGAGTATTTTCCATTTTCAAAAATAAGTGTTAATCTCGCAGAAGGAGTCAACACATTCTTAAATTATCATTTGTACAAATGTCCAATGAATTATAAAATTTTATTAAGTTTTCTTTCCTTTTTGAACTTTTACACACCGTTTTTCAAAAACGTTTAGCTTTTATGTCGCGTATTATGCCTTGGAATGTGAGAAATATTTATAATTTTAGAGGGTTATGTGACTCCTAAAATATCCTCGTGTCTTTTTCTGTTTCCTTTGTCAAAGAAAGAGTACAAATGGCCGGTGTCTCGGCTCTTAACCACTGAAAACAACTCACTAAGCCTTCGTGAGCCGAATTAAGTAAAGGCATCTTTCATAATTCATAGAGACACACTTATTTCACGATTGAGCCTACATCTTGTTTTTTTCTCAAAGATATGCATGACTCCGTTATGGTTTCTTTCCTGGATAAATACATCAACAGCAACACATGATAAAATGCATATATAACACATAATCCATTTGCTTGCTGGTATGCCACCTAGACCCTTAAAGATGACAAACTACGTATATTTCGTGTCAGTATAGGAAGACATCGGTCACAAAACTTTGACAGAGGACATAATAAACGAAAAACTAAACCACGTGTTTCCTTAAAGCACAAAAAGGTCAAGACACACATTAATTGGTGTGAATTTTCCTGAATCGTGAGTTAACATTTATTATAACAAAGAGGGTTGTTTCTACCTATAAGTCATGTACATGACATAAGAATGAGTAGAGACAAATTTATTACTGTGTTGTATTCAATTCCGATGGTTCCAATGTTTCTAAAAGTAGAATTATTCATAATGATAAATTTTCAATTGAAAAATTGCAGTTTACCAAAATATTTAGCCGTCCGTCGTCTATATGTCAACAATTTCTTTGAACGACTTCTTCTTAACCACTGATTGGAATTTAACGAAATTTGACTGGAAGCATCACTAGGTGGTGGGGATTCAAAATTGTACAATAGTGGGGCTGGCCCCCCAGGGGCCTTAGGGGCGGGGCCAACAGGGGTCAATTTGGCCTTGTTGCTTTGAGCGACTTCTTCTCTGGAACTAGGAATTGGATATCAACCATATTTGACTGGAAGCCTCCCTAAGTGGTGGGGATTCCAAATTGTACACATCGTGAGGCTGACCCCTCAGGGGGCTGAGGGGCGGGCCAAAAAGTGGGCAATTTGACTATATTGCTTTAAGCGACTTCTTCTCTGGAACTAAGAGATGGATATCAACCAAATTTGATTTGAAGCATTCCTAGGTGGTGGCGATTCAAAATTTTACAAATGGTGGGGCTGCCCTCCAGTTGCTTCCAGGATGGCCCTAGGGTCTGGCCCCACCCGTAAAGGCATAGTCCCTGGGTCATAACTTTGAAACGGTTGAGATCCCCACCCCAAAACTATATATACAATTGTTGGGCATAAAGAGACTAATGCAGCCATGAATTAGAATTGATCCCAGGGTCTGCCCCACCTTTGCAGACTTAACCCCTGGGTCATAACCTTCAAACGGTTGAGATCCCCATCCCATAACCATACATTAAATTGTTGGGCATGAAAACTCTAATACAGATATGCTACAAGGATTGGTTTGGGGTCTGGCATATTTCCTTTGATCTCATTTGGAGAATATTTTGCCATGATTGATTAGATATCCAGGTTAGCGATACAGGCCCTCTGGGCCTCTTGTTCTTAGTATCCTTATATTAACATAGTTACAAAACATCACAGAACGAAAAACTAAAACCCATTCCTCCTTAATGGGCAAACGGTCAAGTGATGCATGCATTATTGTGAATTGTCTTGAATAGTAGGCTAACAATACAATGTTACAAAGATATCGTTGTTGATTGTTTCGCTGTATAAGTTCTTTACGAGATAGTTGATAATTACAAACAATTATTTTCTATCTTATTCTTAAAACTCAACTAGTTCAAATACTTCTTAGTGTAAACATTGTTTATAATAAAATCACAATTCAAAAATGTAAATTATTTTTAACCTACGTTAGGCCTACGAGGGGAAAACATCTACACGGAAACCAATTCTGTATGTATCTATGTCAAACAAAATAGTAAATAAAACATGCATAGTAATTTCTTACCCGAACTTAGGATGTGAAATAGTTTGAGATGATACCACGCATGCAGGAACAATGATACAAAATATTGTTTTACACTGTTCAAATTCCATACAAAATTAATATATTGTTGACAGATATAATACTTGGAATATCAAAGTTTTATTTCATACACAAACAATAAAAGTGTCGCAACGTCTCAAGACCGAATGATGATTTTATCAAGCGATGACCTATAGTTTGACAAAGGAACCAGTTGGTCTTACAACGTTGCGACACGTTCAATGCGTACATGGTTTATGTATAAAGTAAAACGTTGGTACTACATAATTCAAAACTGATGAATATTACTGAAGATGCAAAAACATAGGTATCACTAACGTGTGTACATTTGCTAGCAAAAGGGGTCACATGAATTACCGAAATTGCAATAACAGGTCAGATCTGAACTGGCAACTGCCCTTAGGTTATGATATTGCCTTCCTGAATATTTTAATTGCTGACACTGTTGGTTAGTGAGTCGCTTTCAGCGGTTTCGAGTCGAAAAACCGCCCATTGAAACACTTTACTTGACAAAGGAAACAGACGTTTATGAAAGCTCGCAACAATAAGCTTCCAATTCCTCTTTGTGTTCAAACCAAACTAAGCATTTACAATATACAATGCGTGAATTGTTTTTGTGTGTAACTGTAAATGTTGATAGGCAGTGCTTACATATAGGATATTACACTCGTTTCCATTTCTTATGAAATTTATGAAACGAGTTTAAGACTCTAGCGAGCTAAAATGAAAATTCGTGACGAGTTTCATACATTTCATATGAAATGAAATCGAGTGTAAGACCGTTTTTATCACATAAGCAAGTTTTTTTGGCATTTATTCGTGTAAAACGACAATTTTCATGCAACCTTGAAATGTAAAAAGACGCCATTATGACTACAGTGCGTAAGTTTGTGACGTCATGTACTTGTCCTAGGCGTGACGTCACAGTTGCAACAATTGAAACGTACAACCATTCACACGGCTGACATGTCATATTACATGGGTTAATACCAAAAAATAATACGATATGGGTACGTTCACTGGATAACACAGTACACTATGTGATAAATGTGAATTTTTATTCATTTCAGATATACACAAACGAGAAAAGAGACAGGCAGGATGGGGATCACAAAATCGAGGTAGGTCGTTTCCTACTTTCTTGCTTAGTAATGACACTCATATGAATATGTTTTCTCTTACTTTGCGGTATTTGCAGTTATTAAGAATCATATATTTAAAAGTGGAAGTTTTCGCGTTGTGGAAATGATCTCGATTTTTGCGTTGTGTATCATGAAAATATTCACGTGCGAGCGTCAATTTATATCTAACACAAGTTCGTTTGGATATAAAAAATAAAAAGTTCATAACTATTTCCAGCACAAACATTTTCAACCACAATACGTTTTAAGAGTCACAATGCGAACAGTGCCCCTTTTACAGCATACTATTTAAGAATATCAAATTTCTGAGTTTGCAAACGGGATATTTTTTTTCTTCTGTTTTCTAAATCAATACTTTTAGACAAAATATATATAAAACGAAGAAAAACATGTATTTTAAACTAACAGAATAATGCTAAATATTTACCAGTTTGTCTTTCTTTGCCCGCAAATATTTAGATTATCATATAATTGATTGTAAATATGCAGAGTGTTTCATAAATATCCATGCGTTTGATACAGACTTCCTCATTGCAGTTTCAAGTGCGTATGACACATCGTCCAACCAAGTATATGCGATAACAAATTAACCCTTAAACAAAATGTTACCTCCTTGATTTTACCGTTGTATGGTAATGCCACTATATATCCCTACCACATTCAGACAGCATTCATATAAGCTTTGAATTTCCATGGCTCAACTGCTTACTACGGTTACCACGTATGTAATTGCCACTATTTATTCCTACCACATTCAGACAGCATTCATATAAGCTATGAATTTTCATGGCTCAACTGCTTACTACGGTTACCACGTATGTAATTGCAATATTTATTCCTACCACATTCAGACAGCATTCAAATAAGACATGAATGCCATGGCCCAACTGATTCCTACGGTTACCATTATAAGTTATTGCCACCATATATCCCTTGCGCATTCAGATGGTATTTATATAAGACATGAATGGCATAACCTAACTGTTGACGTCATCATTATTATATGTCGTTACATGCTTTACGTTAGTTTCCACTGTCTCCATCTGAATAGTTAGCAGTTCTTTGAACAAACACATTATGATACATATATCGATTGAACCTAAATGCTCCACATTAATAAGTCTTTTAAAAGATTTTAATCAGCGCACTTCATTGAATTTGTCTTTCTTAAAGTCAGTAGACTTATTGTCTAGTAATTTCAAAAATAATTGAGGGTATCATATAACGATATTCATTTTTACAATCTTTATAACGTCAGGTTTATTCAAACTATGGTATACGGTATGCATGAATATTTCTATTTCACGAAACATTCTGATATATATTTGTATATGTACAAGAGTATATCATAATGTTGTTATCGGGGTTGATAACGTATCAACGTTGGATCCTTAGAATGTTATAATGTTATGTCATATATATGGACTAGAACTCAATCGATTTATTTCGTATTCAAAAATAGGTTTTGCGGACTGGTTTCTCCGCAATATGCTAACAAACCAGATTCAGCAAAGATGGCAACAATCTCAAAACACCAATAATGCCCAATTCAGTATGTATGATACACAAAAATATAAATAAATAATGTATATCTGTATAACATTATTTATATATAAAATAACTATATGGAATTAATTATATATTGAAGCATACTTTATATAAACAGCACAAGGTCTATATTACTAAAGCATTATTTATGCAATTATACTCTGCACACGGCATTTACAAATTATGTCTATGATTTATATATTGCTGATATATATTTATAATAATGTTCAATCTTAGAAGCATATACTTTGTGGCACAATGTCATTGTTAAGCATTATAAGCCATACTGATATTACCAATCACTTCCAGTTCTGGATTTGTGTCTTGTAATTATGCAAAGTGCATGCGTCTGTCTGCTTTTTTCTTGTTCGTGAATGTATAAAATACACCTATGATAAATGGTTTATCAAGTGCACTATACGCATAATAATATACTAAGGATTTATTTTTATTTTTATTAATATACTTTCTTTTTCTTCATTGCAAAAAAATGAACATTCTTTTATTGATAATAACTACGAATCTGGTGTAAATTGTCTATTACATACATGCATGTTTGCCAAGTTGCCAGCGCGGTGGAGTACCAATGGAAAGCATGCACTGACGGGCAGTTTCAGGGAATCGAACCTAGACCGTCTTGATGAAAGACGAGTGTGCTGTCCACTGTAGTACCAAACAACCTTAATGTCTTCTCTCCAATATTTAGCAATATAAGCTTGTTTCAAATTAAGTAAATGGTAATACAGGCCTTCCAAAACATTGTCTTACATAATGTGAATGGAAACTGCTCTTTTATTAATTAGTCAGTGACACAATATAGTAATAGGTGGATTAAATGCAGCTCTTATGCAATAACAAGGCTTAACAATTCTAAAATTATCCTGGACCCCCCTTAAAATATGTAATGGTATAACCATGGGACCTGTTGCCTTCTTCATCTGTTCGTGATATTAGATGAGGGCTTCAGACTAATCTGGTGATTCAGTCATTTTACCCGGGGATAATCTTTTTTTTTTTTTTTTTTTACGAATGAACAATTACAATAACATGGTTTGTTGTTTAAGAAACATAAAAAGGGTGTTTCACACAATTTTTTATTTGCAACATTTTCGACCCAAACAGGTAGCGTGCCCACGCCAACATGGGTGCCGACTACCATAGGAACACAGGCTAACTTCGGTGGTGGTCAAAACTGGGGTAATACCCAACCCACACCGGTAAGATTCCCTTCAAGGTTCAACAATATGGCGCGGTCTAGAAATAGTCTTCAGGCTCCTCCGACGTCCGCAAATCCAACATCTTCTTCTCGAAATCGTGATACAGGACTCTCAAATCGTTCAAAATCTGTAGGAAGCTCTCGGTCACCTCCTATCGCTGGACGTGGGAATTCCGGAGGAGGTCGGGGATCGCCAACAAGACCTGCTCCAACTCAACCTGTACCAACCTACCCGCCCACTATGCCTCCACGGCCCGTACGGAAATCAAGACGAAATAGACACAGGTCGCAAAACAAATCACGCGCACCGCAATCAAATTTCGGAATGGCAAACATAGTTCCACCATCGTTTTTACAAGGATTAGGTAAGACAGAGGGAATCTTTATACTAGAATCATAAACAAAACTGATAGATTTTGTTTCTTAAATAATTTGATGGTAAAAACATTGAACACAAAATCCTATAGCTTGATTTTGGTCTCAGATCATGAAATTCAGTTGTGGTAGTTACTTTGTATGAATGTTATCCTATGATAACTTACAGTCAAAGGTTCTAACTATGATCTATGATAACACTCGATAATATACAAGCTTGAATGTCAGGACGACGATTGTGACACAAACAATTGTTTTCATTTTTAAACCTTACCTTTTTAATGAACATGGTTAAAACAGGAAAACTAATTTCACCATTTTCTTAATATGCATTTGAGATGCAAATAAAATATTATTTATGACAGCTCTTTAGTCGTAAACAATCTGATTTGTCATTAACTTATATTTGAGAAATTTCAAAAGAAAATGATTTAATGTTCTTTAATAATCTCGTGATAATGAACACATATATTGTCAAATTCAATATTAACATTTTCGGAACATTACAAAAAAAATAATTACAACTATACAATTATGAAATATACGCACTATCGGAACAGGTGTAATCAGTGTCACTACGTACATGTGCATAACACGTGATGTGCAATCTTTCTTTAAAGTATTTTGGAAAATAGTAATAAATGCAATTCTAAAATGATCGCTTTAGATAAAATGACTTGCATTTTTATTTATTTCAATTTATAAGGATATCACCTTTTTGAAAATCTTTAATTCATAGAAACTAAACCTGAATTTAATATTTCATCATATTCAGTCATTATGCTTATCAAGACCAAGATATCTGAGTTATGTCTTATATTTGTTGTTTTTGAGGACGTGCTATGGCTGATAAACTGAGAACCATGTGGATAAGTACGTTGTTTTAGATTTCGGGTGACGTTTGGCGTAGATGATGTATTCTTGAATACTTGTAACACAACCTAACCTAACAACTTTAGCTTTAAAATGTAAGTGCTTTTAGTTTAGTGTAAACTTTGTTTTATTCACATAACATATGTAATACATAATACAAACATAATTGAACATGAATGTATGGGAGACAGAAATAAGTTTTGATACACTTATTATAAATGGGTTACCTTTCAACGTAACCAACATTAACAACGATAGCTTAGTGATATTGACGTGAATAGGGATAATTTACAGGGGAAGTTAGAAGAGAGATGGGGAAACTCAATGCAAAAGATGGTACATGTAAACCATTAAATATTCAGGTTCAGGAATTCGGTACATTATGGTCCCGACGAATCCTTCTGTTGCATCATCGTAAGTACACGTTAAGGTTGAACATTGATTAACAGACTAGTTCAATAATAAAATATATATGTATATAAGTAAGATCTGACATAGACATTTTACAAGTGCCTTTGTATCTACCTTTTGTATTAGTATACAACTTCCTGATCAAGCGGTACGCATTACAATTTAAATGAAATGACTTATCAAACGGAAAAATGTATACTACCATTTTGGGTCAATCCTTATAATCAAATGTGTAATAAAAGATTACCTAACAACACAGCAATAAACAGACCTTTTTGTTTTAAACGAAAATTAGTCGGTCGGCCTGAAACACATTTTGATTGCTATATTATTTTTTGTTTCGTTTTTCGAAAGCTTGTCAAAGGCATTCCAGATGTTAACCGACAATAGGGCGCTAATAAAAAGATGTCCACACTTTCATTCCAGGTATCAGCGTACTTTCCAGACCTTCAGTAACAATAATTGATTATAATTAACTACGTCATGACGACCCATCAACACAAAAGAGGTCATTCAGGCCGATAAAGTGGTGATACATATGTGTAAAAGGATATAACATAAAACAAACAAAAAAGTAAAAGACAAATGTCAACTTCAAAATTGAAAGGGTTATGGTTATCGATATGTTTAGAAACTGACCAACAGTATGCAGGTAGTCTAGAATTATAGGGAGACACTCTATTTTGTAAAAATTTGAAGGAAAAAAAATATGTTATACTATAACTAACAATGAATGTTGTCCGTGTTTTCTGAAGGACATTACAATCCAATAAGAACAGTTTTACCGTAAAGGGCTCATGGCATCCTCAGCAATAAGGTTGGGCTTTGCTCTTCAATCAGTAGTCACGGCTTAAGTAAGAATGCCACAATAAAATGAATCATTAAACGTTAGTTGAAAAGTACTGTATTAATATAAACATAACGTGATACTTGCTTTGTCTCATGAGTTGTCTCCCCATGGGTTCGAACCACTATCGCCTGAAGGTATTTTATTTGGATAATTCCATTAGTTCTTAGCAGAAAAGGTGAAAAACATGTCTGTCGTAACAAATTGGTTGTAATCGCTAAGACTAGTTGAAAGCTACTAACCCTTAAACATCAAAATGAATCCGTCCTATATCACACAAATAGTGCATGTGCTGATAGTTACCTTGATAGCTAATCGGAGTGTTAGTTGGAAACATGACAAAACGCAATGAGGTTTCTTTACGGCATATAAATAGTTGTCCACGTAGACAATGTCAGCTGGATATTGGATTACCTGTGGAAGAATTAAGGAAAATTGACTGCAACTCAGTTAAAGAGCACCCTAAATATATTTTCAAAACGAAAAACATATCTTGATGTGACGGTCTTTTTCAGTTTGTTCTGGGTTTTCGTTTTAATAGTACTTCAGACAATTTAAATAGCTGACAAGAATTTACTCATATCACTTTTCAAATTCCTAACTTATAATGAGTTACATAATACAGCTTAACTATTGAATGTAAAGTACCGTGGAAATTTCGTTTCAAAAATAATTTATTCAATTGTGCCGTGAAAGAATTATGTATTGCATGATAGCTTGGGCCAGCAATCACTAAGATTTTTGTTTGTAGCTTGTTTTGCATGAATTTCAGTCTGCTGTACAAGAGTTTACATTTTATTTAGCATGCTGGTGATTGTAATAATGTGTCTTTAAAAACAAACTATATTTTGAGTTATCATGTGTTTGATATTGGTAACTATGAATACAACATGTCAGATAATATATCTATCGAAGAAATATTTCTTTTGCATTCACGCATTTTGTAATATTATTCAGATGATTTTTTTTCTTAGAACTAGATACATTTCTTTTTCATATATATTATTCATATGAAATTATTTGTCTTTTTACTGAATACATAAAGTAATCTGAAAAAATTCTTACAATTATCTATCGACATTTTGTTCGCACTAAATACGAAAAAAATCGTATTTCGCAACTATGTAAAGATTGTTCATTGATTTTTTTAGATCCCCTTTACCAACAACAAGCAAAGGCTGCCGGAGGTAAGTGGAGTATTTTACTCATTAATAAGTATTTATACCACATTATGTACAATTGTATGTAATCAATAACTTTTGTAAACCCATAATCTGATAAACTACTATTCCTTAAATATCACATTTTACATTTTTGATATTCATTTTTAATTGTACAGTAAATCTCGTAAAATTACATAAACATTATAAATGAAACAACAAGAACACAGGACTGACCGCTAGTTTTTTTTGACAACTTGGGCGTCTTCGGGTGGACTGAAAAAAATACATATAAATATAAACATTATCATATCTTTGTATTGAATTTTCGAACGGTTTTGAAATATACCGATGGATTTATATTATACTAGTGACAGGGAATATAGACCTTGCAATATGTTGGTGGGATGGAAAATATTTCACGATGATAGAGTATTAGTTCATCGTGAACAACACTCAACATGTAATGTAATAATCTACCTAACATATGTATCATACGACCTTTGTATAAAAAGGAATAACGAAAGATTCTTGGTATAATCATTGTCGGTATTCACGATTTTTAATAGTGAATATGTAGTCATTTTGTTAATTAATTACAATGAATTGTGATATCGTGTATGGTAGTGTGATGGTATGTCTTTTGTTGACGCAAAAAGTTATGAAATCATTTTTGTTTTTGTTTTTCATTTTCAGATAACTTCGTTGTCAACCCAAGTGAGTATATATGATCATTCTAATTCATTTGAGATGAAACATGACATTTGATTGGTTAATCAAAATAATTTGCGACGGTATAACTACGATATACCATCTGAAAAATTCTGATTTGCATATAAAGCCATGATGGCGATTGTTAAAGACGTTATGGACGCCAACTGACCCTGAAATGTCCGGAAATTGATTATTCATGACGTCCCGACCAATAGCGAAATCTGCCTTACTACTAAATATTCTTGACGTCACTCAAAAATATATTAAAATCTTCGTTTCTCTTGGTGATTTTGACTTATATGAATGCTATTGGGGATAACTCTACAGTGTTTTTAAATTTGCGGTGGTATATTATGATTATTCTTTCGCAAATATCCGTTTTATTTTTCTTAACATCATTCTTATCACTTTCATCTGTAAAAGTATTCAATTTGGGAAACATTTCTTGTCTTTGACTGTAACCAAATATTGAGTATTGCACAAAAGCAAATATTCTACTGTACTTTAAAGATTGAATCCCTTTTTGTTTTTGAGCATGGATTATCTGTGTTGTTTATCTCGGTGTTGTTTTAGCAAACGATTTACATAAGGTTATAATACAATATATATTTTAGAACGAGGATTTGTCATTCAAGATATCCATGCAATGACTGGCACTATCGTACCATTTGACAGATGGCTCCCATATTTATTCATATCTTTATGATTTTTTAGTCTTTTGTTTATTTGTTAGCTTCCTGTGTCGTCTTTTTGCTCACAATATAAAACTTCATATAATGAGTAACTAAATTCTCAACTAATTCCATATGAAGTATGTATCTTTCTTCACGTCTTGACGCTATATTTTATTTTACAGGTCCGGTAAATCTGGGTTATCACGGTAAGAGATGAATATCCATATTTAATATATAATCAAAAACCATTAAATACTTTAAAGATACATCATGTTTTTTTATAGAGAAATGATATCAATCATGAATATTACATCGAATCGAAATAATGCGTTTTTTGCTAAATTGTCATTACTCCGATTCCCCTCACAAGTAAATTGCTAAATGACAAATGAATTTTCCCCAAATTCAAGTTGTTATTTGTTGGGGATGTTATCTTTGTTATGTTGTCAGGTATTTATGACCAGGATTATTTTGTTATATCACTTGTGATATTGCAAAGATAATTACTTTTAGTTGTTTAACATTCGAGAGGTCTTATATTTTGCGAGTTTATTATTCCGTAAGAATTTTTCAAATGTGGGTTACCATACATGTATTAGTTATTCTGGAATAACTGGAAATTTCAATAATTTTCTTGCAAATTAATTTTAAAAATTGTATCCGACGTTCTCTTTACAGTATGTCCCCCTGGTATCAAAAAAGAAACATGTGTCTACAACCCGTGTCCACGATGTCTTAATCAACTTATCAGATGTTGGTGAGGATTATATAAAATGTATTTATGCATGACTCAATCGTGTTTGCTCTGATAGAGGAGTGCACAGGTTCCGTATGTTGCACGAAATCTGAGTAACTGGGGGAAACCCGCGTAACTGGGGGAAACCCGCGTAACTGGGGGAAATCCGAGTAACCTGGGGAAATCCGAGTAACTGGGGGAAATCTGAGTAACTGGGGGAAATCCGAGTAACTGGGGGAAATCTGAGTAACTGGGGGAAAACCGAGTAACTCGGGGAAATCCGAGTAACTCGGGGAAACCCGCGTAACTGGGGGAAACCCGCGTTAACGGGCAGGTGTCCTCATTCCTTTTTCACATACCATCAGGGAATCGAACCCTGTACATCTTGGTGAAAAGTTAGTGCACTATCCACTGCGCCACCAACCACCCCAATGTGGCTTTTTGTACATATGGAAATATCCTGTTTGATATATGTTTACACTGATAAGTCGCAAGACTTAAAGTTAATAAAGAACTTGAACTTGGTTGTTAATGATTTCATGCAATGTAGAATGGTATGATATTTCAACGGGGAATGATTGAACTGGTGTATCAGTAAGTGGTATCGTGAGGGGCAACGAATATTGGACTTCATAGACAATACGAGGAATTCTAATATTTCCTTTCTTGGTACAGTAGAAATAATATGTATGACCAGTGAGGCGTGGGCCAGTTCTGAACCGATATGAGGGGGCTTATAGACTCGGTTAATAACGAAGCGTAGCCGAGTCGAGTTGTCGGTATGATTCGTCATTTCGTACATGTTTAACAACTAAGTGTAATAAGTAGAAATTACAAACAAACATGTATTTTGTAGGACAAACCCATGCGGCGGATGCACAGGAGAAATGTACTTACGTAAACAGAGGATCCACGACTGTGAGACAATTTAAAGGTGTGTTGTCATCATTATTAAATATTTATCATTTCCGTACGTTCATCTTTTCACGGCGACATAAGTATATATATTTCATTTATTCCAATTTGACGAGTGAAATGTCGGGACAAATTTATTATTTCAAAGTACCTATTTTTGCGGGCTCAAATGTTAGCGCATTATCGAATTTATGCAATAGGAAGCTATATACAGACACTTCAAATAGCGCAAGCATAACCTAGAGCAATATGTATAGCATGAAAAGTGCTTAAATTACAATAAACAATACATTGAAATAGGGACGTCTACTGTAAAAGATGATATGTTTTCACTGCAATGAGAAAAATCAAAATTAAAATGATAAAACCTTCTCTAATGGAAAATAACACTTACTAGGATTTAAAATGGTATTTTGACATTTTGCCAATTTCCTGCTGCCAGAGTTTGACTTCGTGTGTTTACATTTTTCTGTATATGATTGCGACCCATATTAGCTAGATCCGCCGCTTCGTTGGTTTAATGCTTCATTGAATCATATTTGAGTTATTCGAAAAAAATGGTAATGATACTAGACAAAGACGAAATATTATAATCAACAACCCTGAAGACCCATTTGAACTCTTCCAATTCAAAGGTTGGAATACTTCATTATGAAATTTCAGGGGTGAATGAGTTAAGGGTCCTAGATGGTCCTGTTGTTCTTTTTACATTCCACGCTCAGGTGTTGATTGTTTGTGCTTCTTTCAATTTAATTTTAAATATTATTTTTTTCATGAAAGTTCCGCATGGTTTGCCTTTCCTTTTTAGAAACCATTTACCGAAGTTATAGACAGACCAAAACATGGTTTTTCTGCACACTATAAAAAAATTGGTAGGGGTATATGTCTTCTTTATAAAAACGTATGGGTATGTGAGTTGATATCTGTTATGCTTGGGTATGTGAGTTGATATTGTTATGTTTGGGTACAAAAAAAAACAACCGCGGGGTTAGATACGGATTCAAACCCTGACCTGCAGGCTGGCTAAAGTATCGTTCTAACCAATTGAGCTACCTGACGAAAGCGTCCTGACACAATAGTTATAGTTGTTATAATAAAACGGAAGTTTAGGGAATGTTACTACACATAGGAAAAACCTTAGTGCAGTGGGACAGGGATCCTTAAGGCAATATTTAAAAATAATGTCACCAACCTTATAAAAGGTGTATAACGGTGCTTCAAGCGATGACTTTTCAATTCATCGATACAAACAATGCAGTCTAGGGTTAGTGGTGCGTTGGATAAAAGTTTTAAAATGATTCACCAAGTTATACACTTTTGAATGATAAGAGGTACGTATGGCAATACAGTCGAAGCGATTGATAAAATAAAATAATAGTGGAAGAGGACAATTTGGTTTAAACTTTGTTTTATTCAAATTTTGTTTGACAATACATCGAAGTACATGTTTTATAAAACAGAAAAGGAAACAAAAACAAGTGTCGTGACACTTATGTAAATTTGAAAGAGGACAATTTGTGCGCGAGGCAGTCCATTTCTAGTGATTCGTTAACTTTGAAGATCTAATCTATATGATGGAATTGGTCGTATTTGGCGTAATACATTCCCCTCGGCAGTGTTTCTGCTTCATGATTCCCATAGCGAGCCATGCGCAATTGCATCTTTCTTAATGCTGTTTTAATTACCGCAATACCGCTATAAAAAAACCATAGCAGGTATCACTGGCCTTCAACAGTAATTATGTTGGATTTTGCCGGATGTAATTTATCTGTTTTTATTCCTTTTCAGGCTACAAATCAAACTATGTGTGATCAAACGGTATGTCGGAGCATATGAGAGGAGGCAAGCACTACAAATTATCTGTTTTATCAAATTAATGTTATCTATAGTCTCGTTAAGATGTGGCCAGAGTTGTACATGGACTCACGTTATAAGGTATAGGTAATACGAATTTATCTTTGCGATTTGATAATTTTGTTAATTATTTCATTTGATAAACTGTATATCAAATAAGTTTCGCGAGCTTAAAATTTCGCGAAACTTGGTGAATAGATTTTGTTTTTTTAATGGAATTCTTTGATACAATTCATTTGTTTTTAGCTGACAATGCATTATATAATATCATGTATATCTGATAATTTTCGCGAGCTTAACATTTCGCAAACTTATGTAAAAAATATAGTAAACAATTATCATTAAACACATTTAACTGTTTTTGTTTCCTAAAGGTACATATCAAGTTCAAGGTTCTTCAATTAAAGAAATGGATTGTCTTTGTGTAGTTTGCGAGTTGCATCCCCGAGGAAAACCAGCATTTATAGATTGAGTGCTTTAATTATATACAAATGTAAAGAATTTTTACCAAATATTTACGTAGAATTTATATATTTATGCATTTTCGCTATTAAGACATTTATTCTGTAACATCTAATAACATGGAATAAATATGATAATGTTACTTATTTTTCTTCTTTGGTTATTTTTCGAAAGAGCCGTTTAAGTTCTTTTTCGGATTCATCACTTCATTAGACCCGTACGGTTCAGACTGAAGGTAGACTTGTTTAACGATTTTCAACAAAACAGTTTCTAAACAATTCGAGTTAGATATGAACACACATTATTTTAGGTACTTTTCAAAATAGGGCTCAGTACCCGCTTTATATGTAAACACCTCGCTTTTTTACTACAAAATAAAGCATTTGACATAAAGCGAGCGCGCCCGAGTATCAATGATGGCAGCCAATACAGTAATCAATGCAAATACAATCAATAATTTCAATTAACTTTGTTTTCAATGCGGCTTTAGTTGTCAGTTATAAATGCAATATGCAGACAATGTCAACTCAAGGTATTGAATCAAGGGAGAGTACACCATTAATGCATTTTAATATGTTAATTAAATGTGGGCAGTCGGGCTACGCTGTGCATAGCGCTCTCATTTTGTTTACAAAGACGACCTGATTTCGACACTTCGGTCGTATATTCCGTCTTTTCCTATTTCATAGTTATCCTCTCCTGTGAGCAAGTGTTCATTGTTACGTCATATGTTTGTGAGAGTAACGTCATCATTTTTTGAGAAAACGACGTAATTTTCTCACACAAACCAATGATGTAACAATCAATACCTGCTCACAAGAGAAGATAACTCTGCAATACGCAAAGACGGAATACCTGTATTTAATAGGTTATTTTGATACCTGCCAAACCACTTCGGCTTCATCTGGCTTTTCTGTTTTACTCCAACATTATGATCATATACGGGTTTCCAACCTTGTCGATATAATGTCACTAATTATGTATATTGTTATATTGTTATAATGCAGAAAACTGACAATATGCTGTCACCGTAAAGTGATTGAATGCTATGATCTTAAATAATGTCATTGTGATATAATTTTACTTATCCATGTTATCAAAACCGTGCAAATCAATGTCAATATGTTGTCGAAGTAAAGTCACTGAAATAGATAATGTCAAATAATGTCATTGTGATATAATTCTAACTATTGATGTTAACAGTACAACGCAATTCCAGTGGCGGATCCAGATGTTTTTTTGGGGACTTCATGAAACCCCCCTAGCCTGATAATGTTCTTTAAAAATCATGTATTTTCACTATTTTCCTCAAAGTTTCCCCACATTGACCCCCC